AGAGAGAGAGAGAGAGAGAGAGAGAGAGAGAGAGAGAGAGAGAGAGAGAGATAGAGCGAGAGAGAGAGAGAGAGAGATTGAGCAAGCGCTACTTACGAATCCATATCCTCTGCTCTTTCCGGTCTGCCGGTCGGTGATCACGACGGCTTCTTCTATTTCACCAAACGCTTGAAAGTATTCCCGTAAACTCTGGTCCGTTGTGTGGTAGGGAAGACCACCGACGAAGATTTTCGTGTAAGTGGTGTCCTTCTGTTGTATGCCCGTCTGCGTCATGGCTGATGTATGTACGTACAAAACTCGTACAAAAATATATAGATATTTACAAAATATAAATAACGACTTCCACTCGCGTGGGGGGCGGCCGCGCGCAGTATAAAAGTAGAAACCTGGAGCGGACGCGCTTCACAATAGCATTGCCACGGCGCCTGAATCGGCCTGGTGTTCGCTCAAGTGTGAAAAATGAAAGCCTGTACCCGGTGGCGGGGTGCGCGCACTCACTGCGTAACTAGCTGTTCGATTCCGGACCAACTAGCGAGATGCGAGCGAAGAGGCTGGGATATCCAGAGACCATCCCTCGCGCATGCGCACAGGCGCCGTCTCGATGGGCGATATTATTTGCCACGTGTCTGCGTGAACGAACCGCCCTCGCCGTTGTTACTGCACATGATCAGGGAGGTGGCCAGGCACGCCCTCTAGCCAATCAGAGCGTTCGTTACATGTGCGCAAAAGAACCGGGAAATGAGGAGCCGGTAAGCGGCAGAAAAAGTGCTATATTTCATTACATACTTACATATTACTTACTATATAGGAAGCACAGCTGCTGGAAATGTGAAGGCGTCTGTACGTAAACGAACATTATGATAATCTGCTAGAACGAATTGAAACTATTGATATGAATAATAGTTGTAATAATAATAATAATAATAATAATAATAATAATAATAATAATAATAATAATAATAACAAAGATCTGGAGATTGAAATTAGGAGGATGTGGAATACAAAGACGAGAATTGTACCAGTGGTGGTTGGAGCCCTTGGCTCTCTAAAGAATGGGTTTGAGAAGAACCTTAAGGAACTCCCTGGCCAACACACTGCCCAAGAAGTGCAGAAAATCGCACTAGCTGGGAACGCACAATCCTGCTGAATATTCTGGATTGAAGTCCTATGTCCCAGGTTGGGACACGGTCAACCAGAAGCGAACGGCTATGCGGTGATCCACTTTGGAATTAATGAATATAATAATAATAATAATAATAATGGAAGATTCTACAAGAACATCGACAGGCTATTTGTCGACAAGATTGCAAGCGTTGCCTGGCTGAGTAGTTCCGGGCTCAAGGGGGAGACAGAAAGCCTGATCATTGCAGCCCAAGACCGAGCACTCAACACCAGACACCATCAACGCAACTTCCTCAAGCAACAGGTCAACAGCAAGTGCAGAATGTACAGCAAGACAGAGGAGACCATCAGCCACATCATCGCCGGATGCACAGTGCTGGCCAAAACCGATCGAGTACACAAGCCGCCATAACAAGGTAGCCAGCTATCTGCACTGGTCAATCTGCAGTGAACTTGGTGAGCAAGTACCTGACAAGTGGTATGGACATACTCTGAGACCAGTTACCAACATCGGAGATACTACCATAATATGGGATATGGCAGTGCAGACAGATCGCACGATACCTGTAAACCGCCCTGATATAGTGCTCCACAACAAGAAAGAAAAACGATGCCTGCTGATTGACGTAGCCGTACCAGATGATGCTAACATCATGGTGAAGGAAAGAGACAAACTCACCAAGTACAAAGATCTGGAGATCGAAATTAGGAGGATGTAAAATTAATACTAAGACGAGAATTGTGCCAGTGGTGGCTGGAGCCCTTGGCTCTATAAAGAATGGTTTTGAGAATAACCAACTCTCAAGGTTTTAGGAAAAATTTTACAGATTTTTTATTTTCAACTTTATTCGATGGCTAACACTATGTGCCACCTGTGTACGCGCTCATTTCTCCATATAACGGTACAGATGAACTGTCAGAGCGTTTTGCTTGCCCGCGTACATGTGTAGTCGAGCCGCGGCTGACGTCAGAAAAACGCTTATTTCTCCATTTCGATTTCTGACATAGTAGCCGATGTATAAATAGATATTTCTCTATGATTACAACTCAGAATAATTTAATTTTACACTCGTTTTAATGGTAACATATTGCTGTAAAAAAAGTCCGTCAGGGATTGTTATTAAGTTCCGTATTTTATTAGTTATGCCTCTTTATTCGCTAAAATTTTCAATTCTAACACACAACTTGATTTTTAAGCAGTATTTTCAATTTTTTTCAGTAAATATGAAACTTAAAGAAAAATCCTGACGCACTATTTTGGTCCATATTGTGCTTAACATGTGGCAAAATTTTTTTATCCTCACTCTTTCTGGTAGGTGAGAAATATCCAAAATGCCATTTTTACATAAAAATTCAAAATTTGTGTGGTAACATAATTAGGTGCTGGAAATTTCATGAATTTTGTTTGGCTTGAGCATAGAGATATATCTCCTCTATAAATAAAGCAAGTGATTGATTCGATTCATTCGCCAATAAACGTTTAATCTTCATTAGAGCAATAACCGTGCAAAAGATGGAGAGTATCCTTAAGGAACTCCTTGGCCACCACACTGCCCAATACAAATACTGTACAAGAAGTGCAGAAAATCGCACTATTAGGAACAGCACACATCCTGCCAAAAATTCTGGATTGAATCCATATGTCCCAGGTTGGGACACGGTCAACCCAGAAGCCACCGGCTAATGCCGTGATTCACTTTGGAAATAATAATAATAACAACAATGAAAACAACAACAATAATAATATTATTATTAATATACTACTACTACTACTACTACTACTACTACTACTACTACTACTACTACTACTACTACTACTACTAATAATAATAATAATAGAGTTGTGTGCACTTAAGAGATGGTGTGGGGTGGAGTTGTGCGCTGTAGTGTTGTGTGTTCGCAGTAAAATCGTAGTTGCTGTAGTCCGTATAGCTAAGTAGTGCGTCGACTATGCGTGGTGTGTGTGTATTATGTCGTAGTTGTAGTATCGAAATGAGAATGAATCGTCGTTTGTGTGAATGAGTGAATGATGTATGTGGTGCTAAGTGTTCGTGCTTCGTGTTGATTCGATATTGACTGGTGTGCGTGTGAAGTTGACTGGCGAGTGATATATTGCGTCGTGCGTGTAAGTGTATATATGATACGGTCTGTCTAATGATCTATATACTATCTTAATGCTATCTATCTTATCCATATTATAACCATTATATAACGACAATTATATGACCCTATCCGCATAAATTAGTAATTAATGGACTATAGGACAACACATCCTATCTATCTATTCTATTATGGTCATATCATGATGCATCTGAGCGCTATTCTGGAATCCTATCTAGTCTTATCGTAGCACTAGTTCTATCTAGGCTCTATCAGCCGAATGCTATCTATCTATACTAATACTATCTATCAGTATTCATTATCTATCATATCTATCTCTATCTATCTTACATATCTACTATCTATCTATCTATCTATCTAATCATATCTAATCTATCTAAATCTATCTAATCTATCTAAGTCTATCTAGTGCGATTGTTCGTAGCTATCTTAGCTTCTAATCTATCTTCCGCTATCTACTTCTATCTAACTTCTATCTAGTTCTAGCATTAGATCTACCTCGTACCTGCTGCTTAATCTATACTATCTATCTGACATGCAATCCTATCGCAATCTACTCCTAAGCTGGCTATGCTTATGCGCTGCTACATCTAAACTGCTACTATCCTATCTAATCATCTCTCTAATCTGATCCTTAATGTAACATGAAACTGTACCTAGCTTCTATCGTATCATATCTATCATCTATCTAGCGTATTTATCTATCTAGCTATGCTTATATAGGTTCTAGGGTTATCTGATGTCTGGAGGTTGAGCTATGCCACTGCTATCTAACTATATACTTATCATATACTAGTACTCTAACTCTTTGCTTCTGCTTTCATCTCCATCTCTGCGATCGTGAGCTTGTTTGTTGTGTGTGTGTGTGTGTGTGTGTGTGTGTGTGTTGTGTGTGATGTGTGTGTGTCGTTTTGTGTGTTGTGTGTGTGTGTGTGTGTGTGGTGTCTGCTGGTGTTTTGTCTGTGTGTGGTGTGTGTGTGTGTGTGGTCGTTGTGTGGTGGTTGTCGTGTGTGTCTGGGCTTTTAGTCGTGTGCGTGAGAGGTGTACGGGCTATCTATCTATCTATCTATCGGCTCATGCCCATCCAGTCCATGTTGATGCTATCACCATCTATCTATCTATCTATCTATCTATCTGCATCTATCTATCTAATCTGATGCTATAAGTAGTCTACTGAGTCGCGTCATCGGCCACCTACTACACATCGTATCTATCTAGTATCCTATCTATTGACTATTCTATCCACAAACATCCTCCTAATTCATCTGTCATATCTATCATCATACTGATACTATCATATCTATCTATCTATCTATCGTAATCTATCATATTCATCTATAGTGACGTGAGAGGATGCGACTAATTACCGTTGCACCTATACTATCTAACTAATCTATCTAATCTATCCACTCCTCCTCCTGATCTATCGTATCTATGACTATCTATCATACTCAGTCATATGATGTATTTATTTATCTAGCTATTTAACTATCTAATCTATACTATCTATCTATCTATCTATATATCTATCTATTCTATCCTCTATCTATTGGTGTGGTGGTGTGTGTTAGATTGTGTGTGATGTGTGTGTTTGTGGTGTGTGTAGATGTGTGTGTGTGTGTGGTGTGTGTGTGTGTGGGTGGTGCGATGTAATAGTCGCGTGAGTGCGATGTGTACGGATCGTATCCGTGACTCATGCGAAGTGAAATTCAACCGGCCGCGTTTCGGCGTACATAGTCCGGACTAGCAACGCATTTCATGTTCTGACTGCCTGATAGCTATCTGATGCCACGTCATCACCAACACCTGCATACGACGTCACCCTATCAGAACGCACGATGCTTACTTACATGATTAGATAGACGCTTATATCCGACTGTGCAACGATTAAAATGATGAAACTTCAAAATGTCATCGTTTGCACGGTAGAATCAACCGCTGCAATCGTAGAATTCGTCGAGTATTTGAGCTTTGTTGCGATCAGAGAAACGCACTTACCTAAAGAACAGTGTGAGGGAAACTGGTCGCACCTCGGTGTTACCCGCGGCCAGAAACCGGTTTCAGCGACATAGCCTTCCATGTGTGTTGTCACACATTTTTTCCACTGTGCGGAACACATTCCGTCTACAAGGAGTGAAAGAAAATTACCGGAAAAAGCCCCAAAGAAATTACCGGGAAAATGAAGGGATCGTTTCTTGCGTCTAATTGGTCAATCTCGTGTGCTTACGTAACCGTGCGCTAGACTCATGTTTCTAACATGAAGAAGCGAAAGCAGTCCATCTGTTTCTGTGTCTGTCTCTGTCTCTCACTCTTATTACTCTCACACTTTTATATCAATTAATCAATCAATCTGTGTGTGTGTGTGATGTGTAGTGTAGTGTAGTGTGTGTGTTGTGTGATGTGTGTCATGTATGTGCGTGCGTGCGTGCGTGCGTGCGCGCGTGCGTCGTGATGTGTGTGTGTGTGTGTGTGTGTGGTGCGTGATAGTGAGTGATGTGTGTGTGTGTGTGTGTGTGTGTGTGTGTGTGGTGTGTGTGTGTGGTGGTGTGTGTGTGTGTTGTGTGTTGTGTAGCGCGCGCGTGTGCGTGTGCGTGTTTGGTGTGATGCGGTATGTGTATGTATGCGTGCTGCGCTGGCGTCGTGCGTCATGATAAACAATGGACTGTGCTAAATAAGTATTAAGACTCTTCATAGGTGAATTTCCATAATTTTATATTTAATTTTGGAGTATAACCGGAATAATTCAAACTTAGTCATCACATTAAGCATTAACTACGTAGAAGACCCTAATGTAGTGAACGAGTACGAACAAATTAATTAAACGGTGGATCGTTCGTTACCATTGACTGTATATATATACAGCTCAAATTTATCAAGAGTAGATAATAGGAGAGAGGTATGACACCGTTTAACAAGAGCGTTTGCATAAGTTTTCAACTTGAAAATATGCTAATCAATAATGTGCAATAATGAGGATTCAGAAGCCTTACAAGATGTTTATTGTCTATGATCTCCCCTTATACACCACCAATTTACCCCTGAAAAAGTTCTTTGAAATTAACGACACGGTTTCACACGTTTTCCACCAATTCGCTCTTATGATGTTATGAAGAGCTAAATAAATACCTATTAAGGTATTTAATACCTAATAATAGGGTATATTAGCTCTTGATGTTATGTTATAAACACTCAGGTTCTTCGATCCGTAGCGCGAATTAGAGATAACACAAGTGGCGCCATACATCATCATCAAACTTAAATTCAGTTAACGATATTACAAAATCAGGCGGACTTTTCATACTCAGACACGTAACGACGCACATATTTAAATTATACGCAGCAGTCGACTGACATCTTAGCCACAAGTATTAAAAATTGGTATAATTAAAAACACGTACAAACCTTATATGTGACATAAATTTTGAAGAGGGTTATCCCAGAGGCAACAAGGTTCAATGTAGACGAAATACCGCCGTAGCAATACCCAGTAACATCAGCAGACATAACAAAGGTTAATTATTATTATTATTAGTAGATAG